AATATTGACTACACAAGAAAGAGGCGTGTGACTCGGTCAATTTATCCAGTGAAAGATATTCTGGTGTTAAATTTTTGTCTCCCAACCAACAAGAAATCAATTCACTCAATAAAATATTCCCGTACCCACAACACTTCATAGAACTTGCAGAGTAATCACGGTCCTTTCTATTATTTCGGGATCGCTTCGATTTTTTAATACTAAGAGGCCTATGATGTCTACAATTTTTATAACAATAACATATATTTTAAATTCGGATTAACTTTAAATGAAACTATAACATAAATTACTGCCTCGAGAGATAATGAATGGACACATGATGATTTTAGCGAATCTATTATTTGTGTCTGGAAAATTTTAAGGAATATTTTTGAGTTCCTAGTTACACGAAATTGAAATAATGATTTGGCATTTGGCATGATTTGACTAAAGATTTCGATTAATTGCACTTAAAATATCAGAGTAATAACGGGCATCAGAACTACTCTGGAATAGACTATAATGCCACTCAAGGTCTGGAAAATTTTCATAGGTAAAATACCAACTTATACCCGTTACTTTAGGATTTAAAATTATCTCCTTCACTAAAAATTCAAAAAATATGTTATTCATTGCAAGACTTAACCCTAATTCTTCGTCCATTTGTTTTAACAGTTTAAGTACAATCAGTCCGTAGTCCTTAGTGGACAATTACGGTCTTTAACCGCAAGATATATTCCCTAAACTGTTCCACACAGTACCCACCATCTTCGACATCGTAAAATCTACAAACTACACCACCAATTATCTCACACAGCCTCATCAAAAGCATATTTCTAATTTTACATGGTAACATAATTTGACATTCTAGCACTGCTAGAATGTCATTTAACTTTACACTTTGTACACATAATAACTCTAGGTTTGATGGCGTTGTCGTGTATTCCATGATTCTGTCGGCAAAAGAGAGAGAGAAAAAAATTATACTTTTTTCTTTTCTCTTGAAGTTATAAATTGTTTTAAATGTAAATTCGAAAATTTAGTAGAAGAAGAAAAAATAATTTTGAATGTGCGATATTTTTCATATCTTTCTCAAGATTAAATCGGATAAAACGTATTATATAGTAATGATGTAGAGATTGAATAAGCTAAGTAAAAAATGTATGAGTTCAGTTTCAATTCTATAGCAATGAAAACAAAATAATTTAATAGAAAGGTACTCACCAGGTAAAACACAAAACGTTGACGGAGACTTTAACGCTCGGGTAGAAAAGACAAAATATATATAAATAATCAGTAGGAAAAACGGGTCTTTAACACTCGGGTAGACACAGAACACAAACAGAATTCGATAAAATTGATTGGCAAAAACGGGGACTACACACGGGTAGACAGCCAAGAGTGGCGGTTTGGAGTCGCTGAGCGCTAGGGCTTGAGAAGCGACTTGAAGACGTGAACAACAAACGCACAGAGACAGGTGTCGCAGAGTAGACTCGTGAGCATGGATCGTGACAGAGCACAGAGATACGCCAAAAATCAAGAGTGTTGTCTTAGGATTCGACAGATTTTTATATCCGCTGGACAACCTATCCCTCCGCGGTCACTCTCCACCCACCCACCATCCCCTTCGCTGATCATCCCCGTCATCGCGGTTGTCGTTCATGTTCACGATCAGCCAGAACAACCATGCTCAGGAGTATTGAAATCAGGCATCATTTGACATCAGTGTTGTCTTGCATGTGTCTTTGCATGCCCATGATTCGTCATTGAGAGTAACGGTAGCAGGAGTGCATCCCCCGCTGGTTGCAATTGCACTTGTTGCCACTTCATCGATAAGTCAGGTTTTCATACCATATTAATCATGGTGAAAATGGTTAATTTTAGGTGAAATTGTTTCATTGTCATTATTAAGCAAGCTACATGTCATAAAAAAAGAAGAAGAAAGAAAAGAATAATTGGATGATCAGGAAAAAAAAAATCTATATTCCTACACGTTAAGTAAATAAATGAAGTCGAATTTAAAAAATATGAATCATAAAAATTGCATCAACCATAAACCGTATTTTCCTGATAAATTGAAAAAATTGTTGCTGAGATTTTGTTTTAAAAATATGATTAGGCGTTTAAAATCCTCATAATATTGGCTACACAAGAAAGAGGCGTATGACTCGGTCAATTTATTCAGTGAAAGATATTCTGGTGTTAAAGTTTTGTCTCTCAACCAACAAGAAATCAATTCACTCAACAACTGTGTTAACACAAACATGTACTCGCTGTTTTTTTTTCTTTTAATTGGTTTGATTTTGAAGAGTTTTATTTGAATCGTCCTTTCTATTCTTTCGGGATCGCTTCGATTTTTTAATACTAAGAGGCCTATGATGTCTACAATTTTTATAACAATAACATATATTTTAAATTCGGATTAACTTTAAATGAAACTATAACATAAATTACTGCCTCGAGAGATAATGAATGGACACATGATGATTTTAGCGACCCGTTGACTTGTCGTGGGACTATGTCGCGTGCCTGTTATAGTTTAGCGAGCCTTGGGTATTCCAGACACTTATGTCCGGTTTGGAGGGTGGGCGAGCTTGCCACGAAATCAGGGTCGTACGTCTGAGAGGGTGGTCGAGCTTTCCGCGAAATCAATGACGTAGTCTGTGGCGTAGAAATGTTAGTGGCGGTCAGGCTTGGTACTGACTCTATCATGCATCATTACCCGATATTATACACGGTGAGCTGAGGACACTCTTCACAATCACACTCACCAGCTATACATGTATATCTGACCGCCCGCCCGTAACTACTACCTTACTACTAGCAGGATCGTGCTATAATAGTAAGGGGAAAGAGCGGTTTGACCGGGAAAAATTGCGTAACAAACTTTCCCAATGTAATCGTCATCAGAAGGTCCCCCTGAACAACTTCCTAAAAGTTAAAAATGGCCCGACCCCGGAATACCCCTCAAAAAAGTTAAAATTGAAAATGGCGTCCGTAATAAGAGGGTCCGGGAAATCGGTATTTTAAAATGCTCATTCTGTCTCATCATGTGAGGTATCATTTCCTATGTAATTTTGGTCGCAGATTTCATAAATGAATTCCACAAGGCCCTCCGGCCAAAGGGGGCGCTCTAAATCAAAGGTGGCGGCCAAATGTAAAAGGCAGGAGGTTGCATTTTTTTTTTAAATATTCACCGAAGGAACAAGGAAAGTGAATTGTCTTTATTTTCATGTATTTATGGCCAAGAAACTTAAATTTAATGTTATAAATGTATTTAATAAAGGAAAATAAAGGAAACATACGACTACCGAGAGAAACGTAAGCTTAGAAGGGGCCTTGCGGAATTCATTTATGAAATCTGCGACCAAAATTACATAGGAAATGATACCTCACATGATGAGACACAATGAGCATTTTAAAATACCGATTTCCCGGACCCTCTTATTACGGACGCCATTTTCAATTTTAACTTTTTGAGGGGTATTCCGGGGTCGGGCCATTTTTAACTTTTAGGAAGTTGTTCAGGGGGACCTTCTGATGACGATTACATTGGGAAAGTTTGTTACGCAATTTTTCCACTACAACTAACAACTACAACATACCAACAACAAACAACACTATTGTAATTTTATTGTATTAATAAATAAAGATGATAAAGAAAAAGATTCATGAAAATGAAAAAAATAAAAATCCCCCCCCCCCCAAAAAAAAAAAAAAAAAAAAAAAAAAAAAAAAAANTCAAAATGCGTACAAATTCTAAGGTTTGTAACTAATATTAAGCAAAGAAAACAACACTATTGTAATTTTATTGTATTAATAAATAAAGATGATAAAGAAAAAGATTCATGAAAATGAAAAAAATAAAAATCCCCCCCCCCCAAAAAAAAAAAAAAAAAAAAAAAAAAAAAAAAAAATTCAGTGGTGCATTCTCTAGCTGGGGCCATGCCGGTCGTGAGCCATAAGCGTATACACGGCTCCGCCGGTCGCTGGCCTCACAGTAGCCTAGTAATGCGAGCGAGCGGGTCCCGGTCGAAACGACCGGCGTGGCCCCGGCAGAACCCTTCGAGGCCGGTCGATACGACCGGCGTGGCAGTCAACGTAATGTTCAACGTAAAGTCAACGTAAATGTTCGTGGGTAGTAGTAGTAAAATAATTTTATTTTAAAGCGGTGCTTTAGCATCTAAGGCCATTTACACCTCTAAAGAGGGCAGTAACAGTAATAAATTTACATGGAAATATCACTAAAAATACAAAAGGGTTGAGAGGAAAGGTTAAATTTTGAGATTAGTGGAGCGCATAAGGGAACTCACATCAAAATGATCGTACGACTAAATAGTTTTAGGACCATTAAAATAATTTCCAACACTTAATTTAACATTTCAGTTATTTGCAGAAATTGGTAGCATACAGTGTATTTACAATTTTTACAATCAATGTCGATCATCATGTTGATTAATAAATCTTACAAAAATTCATGCTCGATGGACTTAAATCATCAATAAATTGAAAAAATCTGAAGCTTCACGTCATCACTTCGGACACCTTCAAATTCCCTCAACGCGGCGTTTGACAAAATGTCAGATTTGAGGATGATCTTTTTCAAAGAAAAGCAATTATTTTTCCTCTGCCAAATAAGCAACCACCGAACTTTCTCTAATATTACCACCTATTTAAAGAAAGTATGATCACCATGGAATGCATCTCTGATTGGCTCAGCCGCATTGAGCTTTCTCTTATTGTTTCTCCTGCTCTTATATTCCCTCTCCTTTATTATTCACTCCATGTCTTATGCGTCCATGTACGCACCTACCTAAAAATTCATATAGTCAAAATCACATAATTTTTTCTTCCGTATTTTGTAATTTTTGCGATAACACATCATTGATACCCCTTGCAAGGATCCATTTTGAAAATGGCACCGCTGAAAAAGAGATACGGAGGTCTCTTTTGTCCTCTTTGTCTACAGCTTTGTCTATAAATTTCAAGAATCGGGCCGGAGATGAGAGTTGGAAATACGCTCAGACGTCATCCTTCTTCCTGGCGAGCCAGAAGGGCTCCTCATTCTTGAGGACGATGGCGCCGGACTCGTCCTCGATCTTGACGGCGGTCGTGAGGACGGAGAGGCTCCTGAGGGCGGAGGGGTGTGCGGGGGGCTCGCGGGGACAGGGCCCCGGGGCCGGGGGCATGGAGTACGGGGCCGGGGGCATGGAGTACGGGCCCGGGAAGCGCCGTTTGGGGCGCCGCACCCCGTTGCTGCCCGGGCGCGCCGCCAGAGAGGGCGCCGAGCAGCTCCGGTACGGGTTGCAGACCGAGTCGTCGTTGTTGTTGTTCTGGATGGACGCCTCCTGCGCCTTCTGCCACTCCAGCACGCCCGTCAGCAGCCGGATGTACCTGCCAACAGGATGAGAGATCGTATCAGTGGCCAGGCGACAATGATCCATCATCGATATTTCCTCATTTGAAGCGTGGAAAAAATCGATTATTGAGGTTTTGCACACGTCAAAAGCCAAGAATAAAGTCAAGAAAGAGCTTCGGAAAATCATGAATGATCAATCGTTAATGCAAACTGAAACTCTCGGTATACTGGAAAAAGTCTCTTGGACCAGAGTTATGACTCATTCAAAATTTGGCAAGAGAAACTACTCAAAAAGAAATCAAGAGGCTTGGCTCTCAATTCAAGCAAAAATCTGATTGAATCAAGAGTATTTTGCTTGTCTTCTTTAAGAGTCTGGACTCTGATCACAATACACTTTTTTCCAAAGGTTTTCTAGGTGGAAAAATTCCAGCACAGCAGTTTATTTATAATCAATCATCGATATTTCCTCATTTGAAACATGAAAAAAATCGATTATAGACATGTTCGTTGCGAACATTCCTTTTATCGATCCTTTTTCGTAGGTTCAAATGGCAGATCAATCGATAAATCGCAAACCACGCCACGCCACACAGTGGATCGAGTCAATAGGAGAGGTCGTACAGAATTTGGAAACTTTAAACGCTTCTAACTCTGTGTACAAAACTTTGAGATTCTAAAAGTGATACCATCGGTTTCCTCATGAAATTTTCTACCAGGAGCACCCCTTGAACTTTAAAATGTGACGAAATAAACATCAAAATTTATAGTCAAAATTTCATGGCCGACCTCTCAGGTTGACTCGATTCACTGCGCGCCACTCGATGATATAAATACAATGAGTCCGATGTGGGCGGAATACTAAGCAAGGTAAGAACGGGCCATCAAACCGTAAGCGAATTTTGACTTGCGAGTACATTTTCCCGGAGGAAATAACGCGATTTCCTCGAAAAAACGAGGAAAATAGAAAGAATAGCGATACGTGACTGGCATTCTTTGTACGTTTTTAAATTCTTGCGGAGAGGGTGTACATTAACATATGTATTTGTAATAACTTAGGAACACTTGACTTAAAATTTAAATCGTTTTAAAGATTGCATGAAACTCATAGCATTATACGCTTAAACTAAAACTGCCGTGCTAATCAAGAAAGCCGTGAATCCATCAAGATTTTCCCGCGTTTTTGGGAACTTAACCTTCATAAAATAAAAAGTGTTTTACCCATGCACCTCAAATTTTCAGGTTAAATTCTTGACGGTGTTTGCAAAAGAATGCTGTAAAAACATTGTCCCAAGGTATACAAGTTTTTGTGCTATAATACATTGTTCCCATAAAATTTAAAATGGCGTTCAGGGCATTTTTGGGTTGCACGGCAGAAAACTGAAGATCGGCGTTCAATCATCCCTTAATGTTGTCTGATAAATGTTTTTTTAATATTTCTCAGTTCTCAAACTATAAAGTACCCAGCCTACCCAGACCCCTAACCAGTACCCTACCAGTACCCTAACCAGATTAGCTATTTGTAAATCCTTCATCTTAGAATTAGATAGCTCATTTTCGAATTGATATATTCAATGAAAATTATAATTAAATATAAACTGGAACATAATTATTTCATTTGCGGAACATTATTGCACCCACGCGGAAGTTAATTCCGTAATTATTTCGGAGTGGTCGGCATTTCCTGCGTAAAACTTAATGGTAAAAACATGCGTCAAATGGATTACATTTTGCAATAAGGAGCCACTTTCTCTTGCTCCTCCATTAAAGTACCTTTCTGCTTACGGAAACCAATGTCACATATGTTTTTTCTAAAATGAGTAATAAAAAGTGGTTCCTTATTGCAAAATGTGGTCCAAATATAGTGCTTCAATTTAACCACTCCAACGCATCGTCGAAATTTCAGATCTGTTTTCCTAATTTTTTGCCTCGGATAGCGTATTTTTAAAACCCAATAATCGGATACAAGGTGAGTCAGAAGTGAGTGCAAATATTCCAGGGATCGATTCCCCATGGCGAAATAATTTTTTTTTTCGCTTTAAAATCTATTTTTCAATTTTTTGAGGTAAACTGAGTTTTCCAACACAACCTTGGATCTAGAGTCCAGACTCTTAAAAACATCGACAAGTTAAGGTACTCTTGATTCGATCAGAATCTATCTTTAATCAAGAACAAAGCCTCTTAATTTAAGCGGATTTTGTTTTTATTCAAGCAAACATCCGATTGAATCAAGAATATTTTTCTTGTCAATGTTTTCAAGAGTCTGGACTCTAGATCCAATGTGTTTTTTTCTTCTTTTTTTTCCAGTGCACCAGGTTTAAAACTCTGCTTATAACTCAGAATCACCCTATACGCTTTCCATTAAAGTTTGGGGGGTAAAAAACCCAAAGTTATTCCTCTTTTGTCGATAAAAAAAAGCTTTTACAATGTTCCTCAAGCCAGTTCTCTCGTGATGTATATTCTCGAGTATGCAGAGCTCATTGACGTGCCAGTATGCGTGGAAGTCGGGTTAAACTTTTGCTCTGTGCAGTGATTTTCCTCGCGCTTATCTGTGAAATTGAGGGTCCCTCGTCGCGGGGGCGCGGAAGGGAAAGGGGGAAATCGAGGACCCTTCGTTCTATCGAGGAGACTATGAGGACGGCGACGACTGGTATTTTGAGATCGGTGCGCGCGCTGAGCCCGTCCGCGTCGCGGGCCAGCCGACCAGAGGCAACACCCTCCAGGGCAGGGTCCAGGGGGTTACGGTCCTTGTCCGGGTTAGGCTCCAGATTAGGGTATTTCTCCCGGAGCAGAAGGAGTAAGAAGAGTCCAAGTTCGTCGCCTCAGCGCTCACCACCGCAACCCCAACCGGCCCAACCCCAACCTGAGTTTTTCAACCCACCCCTCCCATGGATTCCAGTCTCGATCACGGTTACACCGCAGGATATGCTCCCGACCCTCGAGCAGAATCGCGAGTTCAAAGGACAACACTTGATGGTAACGTAGCTTCTTTTTCATTTCCGATATTTTAAGTAAGGAACTACGTTTAATGGGCCTGTAGGGCGAGGTGCATACATGGCAGGATTTACCTACCTGCCGCTCATGGGCCGCCTGTATTTTGCCGCCCTTTTCTCATTCATTTTGAAACATCAATAAAAACCATCAAGTGACCGTGCCGGAGGGAGAAGGGTGCATAAGACGCGTTCACTCGTGTTTGACACATTTTTTGCGTAAGCCCTGTCAACATTACTAGCAAAAGTTCACGGAACTTCGCGCGAAAGTTCAGTTCCGTTAACCTATCTCTGTGGGGACAAGGCCTTTTATTTGTAAGAAATGAACTAAAAAATTAAGAAAGAACAAACATAAATGTGGTTTAATAATTTTAACTTCCGCCGCCGTGTCTAGCTGACCACACTGTGTATGGCGCAATGCGTGAAGTATTCATGTAGTCTTGTAGGCACTGTGCGCATCACGCCGCGCCGCGCCGACCGGTGTCGATAGTACTGTTTGACGCAATGCGTGAAGTATTCGTGCAGTCTCGTAGTCGCTAATATGTGTTACATGCCGACTGCCGCGTCGAGGGCTTCTCCTTTTCATCTCAAGTCCTTATCATTATTTCTCTTTGCGCCGCGCCGCTCCAGGCCAAATTACGTGTTTGGTTTCTCTCTTAACTCAACTAATTAAAGGTGCGCAGTCTTTTCTATCACCGAAATACGACAAAATTAGAAATTAATGAACGCTCAGGAGATGAGAGATTTTGTCACCTTTTCTTGTTTGTAATTTTTTTTCTGAATCCGATTTTTGTGTACCTGCATTTAAAAAAAATTGCAAAATTTGCCGCCCCCTAATTTTGCGGGCCGCGGCTCACGGGGCCACCCCCTTAATCCGGCCCTGGGCGCATAAGTGCAGTTTTCACTATTTCAAGGAATATTAAAGTTTCAAATTTACATGGAGCATTATGGCAGAAAGGAAGTTTAAACTCATTTTTTGATGCTTTGAAGTTGGATTTTAGCCGTGAATTTTTCACAGATCGTACTTTCAAACTAGTTTTAGTTGAGTTCGCGAATATCTCAATGTTTTCAAAAACTGCATTTATGCGCCTTGTCCTCCGAGCCCCTTGTATCTCCATTGCAGTGTTTCAAAATCTCTACCTCCATCATGGGCGGAAAAAATGCTTCGAACGCGGGGGGGGGGGGCGGACTGCTTCCCCAAAGATGTTTTCGAAATTTTAAAGCATATTTTAACTGTTTAGCTGGTGTCAATTTCATTATGAATTATCACCAACTATAATCATCCTTCCTTCTTTCCTCCGCCCCTTACTTATTTCCTTTTTTTCTCTTTTCTATACCTCCTTTTTCCCGACGAACGGGAGAGGCGTGCATCCCTTACGCTCCCCCTCCTCTTGGATCCGCATATGATTCCCATTTTATTTTTTCAAATAGAAAGAAGTCAGCTTTACAGCTAGAAATGTCTCCGAGAAATTATGTTGATCAAGAAGAAAAATTAGGGGTGTTTTCAAGAAATTAAGTTACTGTATGTACGTAAGTTACTATACTTCTCCATCAAAAAAATAAATTATGATAGGAAGTCTGCCTCGTTGCAAAGGGAGGTGCGTGGTGTCACACTCAGACCACTTATATATTTTTTTTTAGAAAAAAAAAAAGTTCATTACTTCATTTACAAATTGGAATTGGGATGTGATAGGTGTTTGATCTCAAACCGAATAATTCAATATTATCAGCTCCTAAAATTTATTTACCAGAAAAAGGGGACATAACAGAATTGCATTGCTTACAATCTTCAGGAACATGTGTTCTTATTGCCGTTTAAATGTTGTCACTATCTCTAACTCTTCCACATTCAACTTTCAAATTTACTTTAGGTTGCGCGATTTTATCAATTTTGCATCTGTAGAAACAAAGTAAACTTTCAAAAGCAATTTTCTGAAAACTTGTCTTTTGCCAATGTCCCCCTTTTTCCGGGAATGCATTCAATTACGACAATGACATCATCATGTGCCCCATACACTTCGAACAGCGTGATCTTGTGGCAATTCGTAATTCTTGTGAAAGTTAATTTTGATGACACGCTCGTCGAAGGCACCAGACTTAATCGGCCATTCTGCACGCAAGTAATGTCTCTTGTGTCTCAATTTCAGCCGACGCAATTGAAAAATGGGAAGGCAGCCCTACTCGACAAGGCCAGTGTGGACATTTGTAACGAGGACAGAAACCACGGTGATGATCAATGCGCCACCAACCTCAGAGAGTTCCAGGAATTCCCGAAAAAGTGGCGTGGTGCTTGCGGAGATGCGTTCACGGCCATGTGTCAACTGTGGGGTACCATGGGCTGGAAATGCTCCTTCTTCATTAAAACTTCTCAAGGACTTGATCAACCCCTGGCAGGATACGTCCACAGAATGGAGGACTGTGTTAAAGACGTCAAAGTGGATGCATTCAGGGAAGCCTGGAGACTTAGGGTGGTTGGCTCATAGAGCTCTCGCATATTTATTTACAATGGACCTGTTGCAAACTGTAGCTACGTAGCAAAGAGAAGAGCTATTTCTTATAGAAGATGGCTCAAAAACTACGATGAACGCATCTGGAAATCTGAGATACACTCCTAACTTCACGATCTCAGTAAGAAGTATGCGTTGATTCAAGCTTCCCGCTTCAAAAACAATGCTACGGCTTAGGAGAGCATTTCATAAGAAGTGTTGTTCCATCCAACCCTTGCGCACTAAGATGCAACAAATACAAAATAGGACGTATTTCTACCAAACGGAACTGTGTGCATTAAGACATGAACCTTGGGACCCATAAGAATACATGCATAACAGGGCTCACGTCATAATGCTCATAGTTGTGTTTGACAGAAATACGTCCAATATTCAACATGGCTACTGCTTCCGCGCAAGTCGCGGGGAAGAACCGCGGTCTTTATGAAGGCACGGAAAGTGTAGATATAAACACGCCGGTGGATAAAATCCCGGCTTGGCACGAGTGTTTTGGCGGGTTGGCGGCAGCCATGTTGAATATTGTTTGGCATCCTAGTGCGCAAGGCTTGGATGCAACGACTCCTCATACGTTTTTGAAGTGGGGAGCTTGAAAACGCATATTTCTTGCCCAGATTGTGATAAGTTAGGAGTGTATTTCAGACTTCTCCGATGCGCTCGTTGTAATTTTTGAACCATTTTCTAGTTACGAGGAAACTTTTCTTTTTGCTCGAATCAAAGTTTGTACCAGGCCCATCGAAGTACTTATTCATGTTTGAAATTGCGAGAGTAATGGCGGCATCTGGCGGCATTTTCCATTTGAACGCATGCATTTTAGCAGATTAGATCATTTTGTCATTTCTCCTTCAATAATTGTTCAAGTTATGAACCGAGGGTATACTCGTGTTCAGCTCTTTTGATAGCGTCTACTTAAACATGAAGCTCTTCAAATTTAAGACACCTGCGAATTCTCCATTTGCAGGTGTCTGAAATTTGATGCATTTCGTGTTTGAATGGACGCTACCAAGAGAGTTGAGCACGAGGATACCCTGGTTCATAAATTGAACAATTATTGGAGGAGATCTGAAAAAATGATCTAATCTACTAAAATACACGCTTTTGAATGAGAAATGCTGGTAGATGATGTCACAAGACGGCACATTTTATCACTATTTAATCTATTTTTATCCGATTTCCCATTTCAGAAAAAAATTACAAAAAATACTGTGAAATCAGCTTACTAAGCACTCTTAGATGAAGCAATAAAATTTCTATGTGCAAATTCTCCATCCTCCATTTCGAAACTCGGAAGACGCATTTCTGAAAATAGGAAAAAAGGCACGTATGCGCTTTGTCCCAATGTAGATTTACACATGTATGGACAAGTTGAACATTTCCCATGAGCCTCAGTACGTGTCACATGACTACGTAACGTAGGTTAAGGGGTCCGTTTTTTAATTAAATTACAATCAAATTGACATTCAAACGTTGGTGCGTTTAAACGTTAAAATTAATATCGCATTATCAAAATTGTGCAAAAAATCCCCCAAAATTTTGACAAACGATAAACCGAACATAATAAATGAAAATAATCAAAACATACAAAATGGCGAAAGTTAAGGGGCCTCTGGAGAGCCAATCAGAGGCCACTTATTTAGTTATGTCCATACCTGTGTAGATCTACCTTGCTTTGTCCTTTGAGCTCCTGATTTGGACTTACTTGATAGCCATGCGGAGTATCTCATTCTTGGAGAGCTTCTTGTCGGGCGGGTGCGTCGGGACGAGGTTGCGGAGCTCCCCGAAGGCCCCGCTCACGTTCTGCTGCCGCCACCGCTCCCGGCTGTTGGTGAACACCTTCCGCGGGGCCGCCGGGAGGTGGGCGCCGCCCAGGGCCGCCGCCGCCGCCGCCTCCTCCGCCTCCGAGGAGAGGTCCGAGACGAGCTCGTCCTCCGAGAGGGCGCCCCCCGGGGGGCGGGGCTGCGGGGAGGCGGAGGAGGGGGTGGGCGAGAGGGGCGGCGACGGGGAGGGCGGCGGCGAGGGCGTCGAGGACTGGTCGGTCGCGTCCCCCGAGCGTGACATCCAGCGGCAGACTCCCGGCCGGCGTGACGCGATCACTGGCTGAAAACCAAATCCAAAACATTTTACAAATTGAGAATTTCCAGGAGTCCGAAATTTGATGAATTTCGTGTCTAAATGGAAACTAATGAGTGGACTGAACACAAGGATACCCTTGGCATTCACTCGAACGTGTACTATTCACATTGGAAGGTTTTTTGGGACATTTGTTAGAGGGGCATGATTTTACTTGAGGATTAGAGTTGAAGGGATGATTTGACAGAATTCAATGTAATGGAGCGCTTTGCCACAAGTAACCAAACTAAGCGACTTAAAACCATGAATATACTTTCAGGATATTTACGGTTTTTGTCGAAAATATGATGCAAATAGAAAATTCATCCCTTTTTTCTGCACGATAAGGTTTTTTGTTTCTTACAAAAATGCGAGCTCAACTTCTGGTGACCCCAATGATCTTCGACCTACTTATAATAGAGAATTTGCAGTGTTTGAAATTTGATGTATTTCGTGTTCAAGTGGAAACTACTGAGTGAACTGAACACAAGGATACCCTGGTTCATGAATTGAACAACTGGAGAAGATATGACAAAATGATCTAATCTGCTAAAATACATGTGTTTAAATGGGTAACGGCGCCAGATGACGTCACTAGGCGGTGCATTTTCTCACTTTTAAATCTATTTTTATACTATTTCTCATTTCAGAAACAAATTCTAAAGATTACCGTGAGATGAGCTCTTTAAGCACTTTCAGATGAAGCAATAAAACATTTACATGGAAATTCTCCATTGAGAAACGATTTGGAATTGGAATTGAGAAAGATTGGAATGAAACGGTGCGGCCAAGCTCATGAATGCCAAACAGACCATTGTGCATGACATCATAACGAAACAGCGCATATGGTATGGCCATGTCCAGAGAATGGCAGGAGACAGGCTGCCAAAGAAGATCCTTGACTGGGTTCCTCTGGGAGGAGGCGCAGAGGGTGCCCAATGAGAGGTTGGAGAGATGGGATTGGAACAGGAATGTTAAGTTTCTCAACACCCCAAGGGTTTTGGTTCGATAGGGGGCAATGGCGGTTAGGTGTCGAGGAGGGCCAGGGTGTGCTATAGAGCGTCTTATTTGTATGTAGAAAAGCTTTGGAAAGTGTCGAGCGAAAGCTTTGACGATGAAAAGCGGATCTGTAAGAAGAGACTTTGTCTTCCAGGAGAAAACTCTCTTAAGTAAATGATGCGAGAACCAATAGTTATTATTTACTCAAGTAAAGTAACTAAAAGTTATTTTACTCGTTATATATTGACGAGTCTCTACTGTCGACGAGTCTACTGTTGTGTCTACTGTTGACGAGTCGTGTTTGCATGTCAGAAAGCTTGCCTCCTGACATGCAAACAGGAAAGAAGCAAGTGTTTCGTTAAGAACTCGAGAGGGCCAGCTCCGAAGTTTTGCCCTAATTTTGACTCTTTAATAGTAAGTATATCTGGACCAGGGTCCATTTTTTTGGACAGGAACTTAATTATCCCTGAACGCAATGAACACATTTAAAATTTGTAAATTCGCCTCAGGAATGAAATCAGCAGTGATTGACAGCTGGCAGTGAAATTGCATTGTACACAACACGGATTTTGCCTAAAACTTACCTCATAAAGAACCTTGATTGGACTTGCATTGATTCTTGGGTTAGGAATGAAAATACGACAATTGTTGCTCCTGAGGATCCTTAACTGCCTACTTCATGAATTGAAGGCAAAACATTTTGCCGGGCGGTATTAAAAAACGCGGCTAAAAACTAAGCATCGCAACAAGTCTGCTGTGACTATGATAAACAGCATATACGTCCAGGCGTTTTCAATGTTTTCAGATGAACCCTGAATTTTTTTAAATTTTTTTATTTAGATTATTCACAGCATTTAATTCAAACTTTATTTTAAAAACGCCTGATTAGAATAGAAAAAAATTCCGTAATATTTTTTTTTTTGGTGAATGAAAGTTATTTTAAGATGAAATTTTGCATCCTCCAAATATCTATACGTTACTTTGCTTCAGTTAGATAAACCTAGAAATCTTAAACATTCAAAATAGGTTAAAGAGCATTGGGGTAACCAGAAGTAAAACTCGCGTTTTGGTGAAAAAAAGGAAAAAAACAAAAACCCCTTTTCGCACAGACAAAAGGGAAAATTTTCTATTTGCATCATCCTTTTAAAAAAGCCGTATATATCTTGAAAGTATAATCATGGCTTTAAGTCGCTTAGTTTTGTCACTTACGGAAAAGCGCCTCTTTACATCGAATTCTATCAAATCATTCCCTTACCCCTATTCCTCAAGTAAAATCATGTCCCTCAAACAAATGTCTCAAACAATCTTCCAATGTGAGTAGAACATGTTCAAGTGCGTTCCGTAAAATTAATCGGCATAAAAATAATGCAACTAATGACATTGAAAAACATGTCCTTGCAAAACACCGCACTGTAACTTTGATGTTACGAGAATTTCTCGCTTCCTTTGTTACTTTTTTTTACAGGGAAGCTAATCAAAGTTTTCATTTTTATATCTTAGGCATTTTCTTCAATTTTTAGAGATAGTTTGGACATATTAATGATAAGAAGAACATGCTCCCATAAATTTAATCAAAAAGAGCTTTGAAGCACACAAATCTTAGGCAAGTTCTTTTTTAATTAATATATTATTTATTATTTATCATTTATTTTTTATTTAATTAATTTCCGCATGCAGTTTCTTTCGGCATAAATGCGTACATTTTGCACTCATATCATGGAGCACATATCACTGAAGTTTCCTAGGAAAATAATGAAAGAAATAACGGGGAAAAATTACTAAAAGTCGGCCTAGATGTATACAATATTACATATCTTAGGTTTGGTTGTCATGCATATTTTATTCATGTGCCCTCATGAATCTAGTCAGTTTATTATAATCTTATCATACTGCATTGAAGAAAATGAGACTTACCATTGACGGTGTAGCAGAGACCTGTCATTCATAGCAAATCCATAATATTTGAGGAGCATAAACATAGTCTTTTCAATCCATCAACACACCTTTGATCGGGGCTCAATTTATTTGTGCCGCACATTACTGATACCAATACTTAAGATCGAAAACCAAAATTATTTATTAAATTTGCAATCGACAATGCCAAGATTGCCAAAGAATCACAGGAAAAAACAAGCGAAGTGAAAGTAAAAACTTTCTTCTCTTTAGTATTTTGTTAAGGATGAGATAAAAAAGCTTTTCATGTAAAACTTTTAAAGACTTCTCTTGAAAATTGTTCGACCAAACAAGTTGTGAAACAAACAGTTTAAAAAATACCCGAAATATTGAGGGACAAAACAACGCGAATTTTGCGTTTGTTAATTGGTGGGACTTTCTTTCACCGATTACAATTGCACGATAAATTTGATGAAACCGTGAAATTAGTGGTAATATTTTTGAAAAATAAAGAGTAATACTATTACATAATTTTGGTAGTGAAACTGTAATAAATTGACAACAGCACCGATAAAGTGAATCAATACGTCGGTAAAAATGGGGTCCACAATGTCATAAAAATGTCGCACTTCGCAACGTCACAACATATTTTTTGGAGGCACCACAGAAAGATTGTTTAAAACAAAAACAAGCATCTAAAACATTGTACAAGGTCAGACTCACAATTTTTAATTAAACCAATAGGAACAGTAAAACGATCCGCAAATATTTCTAGGTTAGAGTTGGTCGCCAAGACGAGCATCGATTGATGAACACTACCCCGAGATGCGCACAGCATCCCCTCAGGCCCCTCCTCGCTGTGCACCCCACAGGGATGAGTTTAATTCGTGTCCAATGAGAATGCTCTGTCGCAGAGCACGGACCGCCCCTTTAAGGGGAGGCTGAGGCATCACATCCCTTCGCCAGGTTGATAGACCTTCCCAGCCGAATCGTGTTTCATTTCTCCGATTATCTCGTACTGAGTTTTTTTATGATTGAGCGATTCTCGCTCAATTACTATGTTTGCGTGAGAGATGAGAGCTATCCATGCGGGGAAATGGGCTTTTTAACTTTCGCTGAGTTTCTCCTGGGTGTTGAAAAATTGAAATATTGACTTATTTTAACCGTTGAACGTTGAGGCTTGTGCAATGGAACTCATTTTTGCGATGACGAACCATTATTTTAGCTAATTTTAGAAAAGAACGTATGTTCGATCAGCTTAACCATACAGGTAGGTGCTTTCAGAGATGAGCTATTAATAGCAATCTTCGTTACACAATTTAGTCCAGCCTGCGTTGAATAATCGTAGTACCATATTCGTAAATTCCTTCTCTTTTAATGTTAAAATGTTCAATAACATTGGGTGAAGTATGGAAAGTAGCATTTTTTGCAACTGGAAGCCAATTATTATATTTTTTCGTAACAAGTTTTTAAAGTCGGGTTTTTCGATTGCCCTCTGTTTAAAATGAGAAGTACGCTCGAATATCCACACAGAATATTTTCGGACACTACATTTTTCAATGAGAAACCACTATTGAGTTGCGTTACAGACTATTTCCACATAGCTAAAAAATAATGACCGTGTTTTGAGTTACTCAGTGTTACTTTTTTGTGTCAGATCAACTCAAAGAGCTTAGTTACTCAACACAATTATGCGTTACGTCGACTCAAACTGTAGGTTACTCATAAGGTCTAGTTACAGGTCTAGTTTTTGAATGATGCAACTATTCGGCCTCTGAAGCCACGCTAGGAAGTATCCTTTCCAGATAAAGGCATTTCTTACGCTTCGTCACTCTTCATCAAATAAGTAGCCAAAGGTCCAGTTACACGATCAAATTGAGCCATCAAATTGGGCCTCTCATTGGTTGCATCCTCACCTCAGGTCTTTTTCCACCAATCAGAGCTTCTGTTTGATGGCTCAATTTGATCGTGTAACTGAACCTTTAGGTATCGAGGCATAAAGAAAGTTTCGTGCGGAATTCACGTACCCTTGTTTTCCTTCCCATACTCAGAGGTCGCAACTTGCGAGTGACTAGAGTCAGTGTCACACTATCAAAGCCAGCCATCAAATATCGAGGTCAGGTGTTGTGATTGGCTTATTCGATGACTTGGACCAATCACAGCACTTGACCTTGACATTTTGATGGAGTATTTTGATAGTATGACACAGGCTTATGTGCTGGTTACACGTTCAAATTTCCATTAATTTCCGATCAAATGGCGACTGTTGCGCACCATCTACCAACAAATTTCTGCGGCCTGCAAAAATTTGATGGTAGATGATGGAGCTGTGTGGCTCATTCTTCATCTGATTTCCACACAACCGTGCTTATTTCAATCAAATTAATTTTACTCATCAATCCAGATAACTCTCGACCGCCATCTTGGTCATAATTTTGATCGGAATTTGACGAAAATTTGAGCGTGTAACCAGGCCATTAGCGCATTGGATTACCACCGATGCGATCAGGATCCGATCCTGGCGGCTGGCGCCTGGTTTTAAAGAGGTCGCAGATTTTCAACACAATGAACTGGTCACCACGACCCGAAGATTTGGTCGATTTGACACAGGTAAAACTAGCACAAAAAATTAAACGATTGCTTGTGTAGCTCCGTGTTTTACTTCCCATATTAACACAAAATATTGGGTACTTTTTCTCATCGTGCACTTGTCCTTTGAGCTTGGAATGCTATAGAGAAACGACCTTTGTGACCCATAACTTCCACGCTTGAGACCGAAATCGAAAAACCAATAGAAAACAAGCAGTGAACTCCAACACAATGTGTTGATAAGGCGCGTCATTAACTCGCACATATCAACCCCTTTAGTTTTCATTTACAGAGATTTCAAAATAGGCAAACAGCATAAAAAGAGAATTCACGATCCAACACTGCGAGGTCAAAGACGCACCTTGACGAGACCGTGTATTGTGAAAGTAGAAAGCTATTCGATCGAATTTAAGTTTTTTGATCTGCCTCAAGCAAAATCTTATCAGATTCTTGAAGAAAAGTGCTACGGAATAATTTAAGCGAAGAAAGGAAAAATTCTGTCGAACTCCTAGAAGATAAAGTCGATTTAAAGGTATTTTGGGGCTAAAATACCCAAATCACCGGTAGTAAAAATCCCGTTATATTATTGAAAAGAAATTGACTCGATATAAATGCAATTGCATTAAATACGTCTTGATTTTGTTATTTTAAACGTCTTTCCATGCAAAGAAGTTCAACCATGTCGTTGCTTTATTCATTCATGAATTGAAAGTAAGCAATCTACATCCCGAAAATCTACTGATTTGCCGTAAAAAATTGCAGAAACTTGATATACCAGGTCGATGCACCCACTCGTTGAATTTACCAACCAATTTTGTGAGTGCAAATGTGTAAGAATCAATATGCTATAGTCATTTTGGGTGCATTTATTTTTCATGAAACAATAATAATTTCAATCCCGAAAAACCATCAATTTTCCGTATAAAATCGAAAAAATCAAAATATGTCAACTCCCCGACGTGAAAATTAGATTCTACGTATGTAAAATGTAAATACTTATGTATCGATATGCTGAACAGAACTATGTGTGGACAGTCAGAAGCCCGCGGCAACATTAATTCAACAGAAAAACTGTAAAAATTAGATAGGATTTTAGCCGCTTTGCCCGCCTCTCCTCGCTACTTACAACAAACCGTTCTTATACTCATCTCAAAATTTTTCTCAGAGCTTTGGGTTATTATCAGCTTCCATTTAAACTCCGGTTCGATGGCCGAATCGGCTGCCAAAAAAGCAAGCCACTGTTGAGGGGTTCTATGAGAAATTCGTGATATTATCGGCTCTCAGGAAATCACCCCATGGCTAAAATTGGTGGTATAAATGTTTAAGTGCTTAAAATAATCGTATTCAAGAAACTAAGGAATTAAACTATGGAGTCAATTTCTTTTTAATAATATAACGAATTTACTACCGGTGATTTAGCTATTATAGCCCCAGAATACTTTTAAAGCGCCTTTGCGTTCCAGAATCTCGACGGAATTTTTTTTTTTTTTTTTTTTGCTTAAACGATTCAAGAAACATTGTAGTTAAAAATATAAAGATTTTTCGATTTGGACGTATGAAAAATGTTTAACTCGTTCAGGCACACCGTGTATTGTATGGAGTACTGCTGTTATTCGACCGTTGTCTTCAGGTCAAAATTCTTACAAAGAAGCCCCTTGCAAGAGGCAAATTTTTTGTAATTTCTCCCAGTTTTTTCAGCGTTAGGTATATAAATGAATTGTTTGTCAAATTTTGAGGTCAATTATATTTAATTGTAATTTATACTTTCTTTTTTTCCCCTTCATTTTATTTTTCGTATCGAGGAGTCGAGGTTTTGTTGATTTCTTCGGATTTCGATTACTGTAACTTCTCTTCTATTCGGCCGATTTTTATGAATGAGGTCTCTTTTTATTTGTGTTTTAACGGAGAGTAAGGAAAAAATTGCTAAATACATGCGAAACAATTTTTTTTGAAAATTGGATGAATCCTAGCGTGACGGTGAAATGGTTAATGAAGCGTGAGTAATTGGGGTACGGGTATCGGCCGCGTTGGGACCCAAGGCCCATTGTTCTTCGTGACGCCGACGCAGTGATCAGGAGCGTGGGGACGAGAGGGCTTAGTGGACTCCTGTATGAGCCACGTTTAGCAAATGGTCTAATGAGTCTCGAGGCTCATCACAGATTGCACTTACCACTATCCTGGTGGCCCCGGCTATCAGAGCAAGGAGTACCAACTTTTGAAAAGGATAACAGTGTTGTGGAGATATGTCAAAGCAACGTTGTGAACAAAACGGAGTGAGTGAAATTCTCATTCAAGGAGTGCCGAACTGGTCAGCCATCCTCGAATCAGTTCGCTTGCTTCCGCTTATATATGCATATTTTAAATCAGCGCGCCCCATTCTAAGGTTTTTTTAAAAAAAACCAAGAAACGTAGACTCTTGGTATTCATTACACATAAACTAGCGAGCCCCAGAATGAGAAACAAATTTTAATCATTATTATTGACGGATTAGTAAACTTTTTACACGCTTTGGAAAATCTCAGAAGTTCGCGGTAGTCACTTTTCGGTAAGGAACTAGGGGACTCGGTTATTGTATCGAGGGGGGGGTCGAAACGATCGCAAAGGCGGTATACTACGTATACGCGCCAAAAATGAAAAAGCGCAAAACTCGGGCCTGTGTACATTGATTCTCATACAAATTTAAAATGAGAATAATTATTCGCACCTAACGCTCAAAAGCCGATTTCCTTCAATTGCGACATTTGAACCGCCCAGTTATCATTAACTCCCCTCCGCCCTTCAGAATGTGTTTCTCCCCACAAAAGAGTAAGGTTCTTTAACACCCCTTTTGCGAGGGGAAGGAGGCGTTTCCGCAATAAAATTTAATCGTATCCGCCTCCTGTAAACTACTTTCGTTATCTTTCCGTGCAGACCGCTATTGATTTGTCACTCTTTTCCTCTCTGAGAGGAATTTGTGGAACAGCTCAATCGAAAAAGTACGCGGCTCAAAGCGTTATTCCATTCTGGAGAGAATCGTGAGAGGCATTACGCGGATGAGAGAACTTCAGTTTCATTCAAAGTTCGTATGGAGAACCGATTTCTTCAGTCCAAAGATGTTGACACTATTTGGTCGGTGTAAAAAAAAATAAATGAAAAAAAAAGTGGGTCATGGTTGAGACATGAGAACTCCATGAAGAAAAGTGTATAGGTATGCACTTGCACTAGCCTTGGGTAAGATGCAATTTTTGGCGTTAGTTTTTGATCACGACTCCCTGTGTCAACGTGCAAAAATATATTTTTAAAGGAAAATAGCGGAATGGCTGGACAAGCGCATATGTCATGAGCAAAAAGTAAAATTAGGCATTTTCTTAAACGCCTAGGTACATAGTCCAATTCTTACCAAGATTAAAATTCAGATTCTTTTCCTAATTATTTTAGACAAAATAATGTATCGCTCCCATGAGAGAGAATTCTTTGTAAAAATATGCAGTGTACAATTGTATTTTAAACAATTTTGAGCTCCTGAACGAACATTTTTCTTGAAATTTTCAGAATGTCATAAAATAAAAATGTCTAAGATTTTAAAATTTAAATACGTACGAAGCATTTGAGTAGAAAGAAACGAGAAGAGTTTTGTAGATTTGAGTGATTTCTCCCAAAATATCGAGGACTCGTGCGCTCTTCACCAAATATTAACAAACTTTGGTAAACGGCCAAAATTTGACTCTTGGGCATTGGATAAAATGCCTGATTTTATAATTGCCTGTGACATATACATTAAAAAATTAAAAATAAAAAATAAAGCAAACAGTATGAACTTCCTACTCACATTCAGAATAAATATAAAAAATTGACCGTGTGGATATTTTTGGCTAATGACGTCATCGGGGCTTCCATTAAAGAACCCACCGTTGGACCCGTTGATGGCCTTGCCGGGGGGATACGCTGTTGACGTCATCGGAATTCTCGATTACAAGTCTTAAATATGCACTGAAAAAAATGAGTTAGCGTCAGATGACTAAAAATGGTTTCTATACACTAACTCATATTGTGTGATTTGGACACACATGATTTTTGGTTTCTGTACACTAACCACTATTAGTGCTGGGAACTAATTCCGCTACTCTAATTCGCATTCGGTAGGGTTGGGTCAACCTAACCTCAAAACTGAGAGAGGAGAAAACGGCTTAGCGAATGATAATTGGACAATACTTTCAGGAAAAGAAGATTTCTTAAAAGATGAGAGGTAAAAATCAACTGACCGGTTCCAAATGAACGACAGAGGAAAGGAATATCCCATAGGTATGTGCAAGTAGACAGAATTATCCTTTAGAGAGACACACACTCACACATGAAACGGTAGCGAATGTTCACACTGAATAAACATATCTCGTCCGAACACTTGAGATATTCTTTAGAAATTACGGGAGAACACGAACTATAAAAGTAAGCAGTAAGTTCACAGATTTTCGTAAAATATAAACTGAACGCGGAACGCTTTAATCGCAATTTAATACAGAAGATTGACGACTCCAACGAATATCATGCTTGTTTACGTTTTGAATTGAACAGACGATTTCTAACCTTAACAGGTTTATTTATGTTGCTTTCGAACGTTTTCAAGAAAGAGAGGACACTATAAATCATACCGGGAGTATTTACATTGTCAAACGAGCCCGAAATTTCACATTTTAATTGATTTTCACGAGCTGACGCGATTGAGGCTGTTGTACCGACGCCACTTTTTCGAAACTAAATAAATGTAACGGACAATGTGGCAGTTAGTGTTGAGGGCGAATTAGTTTGACCCGAAGGTGAATTTGTCTTACCACAGCGCTAATTACAGCTAGTGCTGTTTTCCAATTCTGGTTCGCGCTCTAGTAAAGTCAAGTCAGCGTATGAAACGAATTGATTGGTGCCTCAGTACAATAAATTAGTTCTGAGGCCTAATTTTGATTCTACTTGGCGAGAACTTACCAAATTAGTTCTCAACGCTAACTACTTTTTTTTCAGTGTGGCTATTTTCATAGTTTAAATGGAAATATCAGCTAAATAAATACATTTTTCAACACATAATTAATTTTTATTCCATTCATGCATACTCATAAGAGCTATCTAAAATCGTAACTATGTCGCCAGATTTTGCGATAATGGGTATATTATGCGTGTATAAATAGGAGAAAAATGCAGATTCTTGAGCATCATCTGAGAAAAATGTATGATAAAGTTGGAATGAGGGATGAAACGGCAACGCGGAGGCGGACGTGGCGATGCGGTTGGCGATGTGTGAAGCTGCGGCGCGCGGCGCTGAGACGCGGAATAATTACTAATAGATTAGTTGGAAGTGATTCACCGGGGGTCGCGTGCCGCGGCTCACAGATAGCGCCAGTCGCGTGCCGTTAAGTCAACACTCATCTCTCGCCAAGCTGAACACTCAAACTGACATAGGGTCCTATAACTGGAAAAAAAAACCACATTGGATCTAGAGTTCAGACTCTTAAGAACATCGACAAGAAAAAGTACTCTTGATTCAATCGGAATCTAGCTTAAATCAAAAACCAAGCCTCTTAATTTAAGCGGATTTCGTTTTGATTCAAGCAAAAATCCGATTGAATCAAGAGTATTTTTTCTTGTCAATGTTTTCAAGAGTCTGGACTCTAGATCCCATGTGTTTTTTTTTTTTTCCCCCCAGTGATTCATCGATTGAGCACAGGGGAGAATTGCATGAGCGCCGTCGCCCGCGGAGCACTATGGTCCATAACTCAAGAATAGGAAGAAATATGTCAGATAATGACTGAGGGATCACGAAAGTTTCGTAACTGGTGTTTTTTTGAGTCGCCAATTTCGAATTTGATGTCAAATTGCCTACATTTTAACACCCTGACCTATTGATTGTGGGCAAGTTTATGGCACGCTGCGCTGCGTGCTGCGTGCTGCGTGCCGCCACTATCAGCTCGAAACGCACACCGACGCCTACAAACCTAAAGGGATACTTCAAGCATTGCGCAATGCGCACTGACGCCTACAAACCTAAAGGGATACTTCAAGCATTGCGCAATGCGTGAAGTAGCCCTTTAGGTTCGTAGGCGTCAGTGCGCGATTCGCATTACTGGCAGCACGCCGCGCCGCGGCACTCCTAACGGGCGGGTGGTGCGAACGATTTCTCGCGGGGAGAGCTCCCTGGCGGAGAAACTCGTATATCGTCTAATTTTTTTTAATTTTTTAAATTTTTGACTTTTAAAAGTATACACTGGTTGTGTGAAGTAGTAAGTAAACTCTCAACGCTAGATGAAGTGTAATAATGAAAGGCGGGTCGTGCGCCATGCGCGCTGAGGACGGCTCAGGGCGGCTCATGAAATTCTCCCCTGCAGCCTGATTGTTGGAATTTTTTGTTTATCGGGACTACATAGATGACATAGGTTAAAAGGCAGAGTGTGATCGGTCGGCTATGTCTTATCGCTGCTTTGTCGTGCCTTTGTCAGGTGGAATGGACGATATACTGTCGGAAACTTATGAGGTGCTGTTAGCTTGTCGTGAGTTGAACCCGACATAGGCACGACAAAGCAGCGATAAGACATAGCCGACCAATCACGCTCCGCCTTTAAACCTCTGTCATCTATGTCGTCCCGACAAACAAAAAGTTTCAACAATCAGGCTACTCAGGCTGCTGTTCTCTGTCGCGTATTCATAGTCGCTCCTTAAACAGCTCCTTTCTCATTGCCGGATCCACCAAATTGGCAACACTGGTCTTCACCATTTAAACCTATGGAAATGTATCGATTCTTGAAGGGGCCAGGTGTTCCGAAAAGATCTATTACTTAAAATAGGTCTAAATGGAGGAAACCCGGTGTTGCCAAATGTCCGCTTCTATCCTTTCCTCGGGAGACCCCATTTGGTTTGTATTGTGATGAAAGAAGCTTTAAAGAGATCTTCAATGAAGCATTATGAAAAGGATTAATGGAGGCATATCTCGGTAAAAGGGCGTATGCGATTTCTAATGCTGCTAAGATTGTACAACGTAGTTTTCTAGTTGTAACTAGTAGTAACTTATCCAACAGTTCTGCTATGCATATTCCCCGGAATCTGCTCCAAGTTCTTCCTCACCATTGTAATGAGGTAAGTCTACTGTGAATGCATTTCATCTGCCATGAACGCTTTTAAAAATATCACAATCTTAGCAGCATTGTAAGCCTCATATGCCTTTTGACTGAGAAATTCCCCAATTTTTAATAACTTCAAGTCAAATTCAGCGGCATAAATTTGGAAAATTGGGTTAGATCACCGGTTGAGTAAAGTTTTGGTTAGCAGGGTTAGATCAGGTTTTCGGTTGAGTAGGATTTGTGGTAAATTTGAGTTTCCAGTTAATTTAAAGATTCAGTCAAGTGAATCAAGTGTCCCGTTTAATTGAACGGTCCCAATTTTTTTAATGACGATTTTCGTTGTCCAGGGAGATCATCAATTGTTGAATCCAAGAATTCCGAGGGATGCACCAGAAACAAAAAAGAAACACACATGCTGATTAGAAGAGAGAAAAATACATGTACACTTAAAGATGGAAATAAATATCTCAGAAATCTTTATCAGTGTATAAGTCGCAGGGAGTCAGCAACCGCCGGCAATTTGAGAGCTCCGTACTTGTCAATTCGTCAGAGTGTAATTACGATAACATCGACATAGTAAAGATTTCTTTACGCCTTCAACTCCAGCGATACTCCCTGCTTTGCCAAGGAGTTAGTTTAGTTGCTTAACCGAACCTAACACAGATTATTGATGACATTTCACGAACTCGCGAGTGTGCTGGCTGGCACCATGTATCCAAGAAGAAGGGAAGGGGCTAACGTTTGTTTGAATTCAAAACATAATAATCCCTACTTCCAATCTCGTTTTTTCACTTAAAAACTATTCAATTTGTTGATTCAACACGAAAAAATTTCAATTTGCCGGCGATTGCTAATTGCCTGCAAAATATATAGCAGAGAATGTTTGTGAAGAAATTAATGAGAGAAAAAATTACTGACTGAACAATCACAATCACTGCATGCGCAAATGTTAATTAAACAATACTAAATCACTTTATCGATGCTGAAAGTGAAGAAGTGCGAATCTTGGAAAACACGATTTTCCAGGAGAGTAAAAAAACTGTCTGCATTCCTCTTTATTGTCGGTTTAAGGGTAATAATTCTTAAGGATAGCAAAATTAAGATATTTTTTCGAACTCCGTCAGCAGTTTCAATAATTTCTCGAACTGTTGGAAAATTCGGCAGAAATGCCGAGATTCGCGTTTTTGGCACTAAGTCGACACTTCATCAGGAGATGCGCATGTTACGCAACGTTTCAATCGGAGATAAATACGCTTTTATTCGCGCGCAGCCGTCGGTATTTCGGTTAATCCACGGCAGGCGCAATGATACAACTATTCGACCACGGATGTAGGCATGTTGCAGCCAGCCGGATTGAAGGCGCGTCAAACTGCGAAGATCACGCAGCCGCGTTCCCCTCCCTGGCTGTCGCAACGCTGAAATCGCCGCAAACCTAAGAAAACGCGTCATTATTTTTACTTTTTGCCATGTTTTACTATATTTAAATTGAAATATGTATTTCAACTATAACGATTCAAAAAATTTAATCGTAATTGATTCGTTTTTTGATTGAAGAAAATGGAAAAACGAGAGTAAGTGTTTTATACTTGTTGGTGGATTTGGATCATTTAAAAACTGAAAACAGGGTTTCACACTTAAAATCCCTTATCGGGTAAGCTTTATTTAGTTGGTCATCGATGCTGCATCCATCCATGCTTTACGCTTTCCTAATGGACCAGTGGACAAAGTACCATTTCTTCAATTTTGATTATTCACAGTTAATCAATTTTCTTATGTCAGCACTGCGTTGTCAAACAATGCATATTAAAGATTAACCATTCCCGTAGCGTGGTCCACTTTGAATATGACCTGTTTCAAAATTGTAAAAGATGCTATATGAATAATCACTCTTCTACGTTGGAGCGTATTTCGATTATCACACGAACCCCGGACAGTGGCGATATATTGCGAAATATCGATTGATCGACCGTTTAAACCTATGGAAAAGTATCGATAAACAGGGTGTTTGCAGCGAACACGTTAATAATCGATTATTTACCACAGCTTCAAATGGGGAAATATCGATAGATCGCAAAGCACCCCTTGCCACTGCCCCAGAGAGTATGGATTTATATGTAAGACAAGGCTCACGTGGATACACCACACAGTGGATCGAGTCAATTAGACATGGAATTTCTAACCAAAACTGCAAATTTTGATGTTCAATTTGTCAAATTTTAAATTTGAGGAGGTCTCTTTGGAAGAAAATTTCACGAGGAAACCGATGAAATCACTTCAAAAACCTCAAAATTGTGTATGAACCGAGTTACAAGCATTTAAAGTTTCCAAATGTTGTCCGACCTCTCCTGTTGGCTCGATCCACTGTGCGTCGGTAAGTCAGAGGGGCGACGGAATGAAGTGTCCGCGTCCTCTTAGTTTACCTTGGCTCCCCTATCATCCCTTCCGAGAGGGGTTGGCAGCTTTTATCTGTTGCCACTCACCCCCCTACTTGACTTCTGCAACAGTGCTCACAGCATTCACACGCACCGAGATGACTCTCGAGTGGAGTGTGTGAAAGGTTAAATGATTATCCGACTGATTTGTTTTAAATTGCACATGCGTCTCCCCGTTTTTAAAGTTTGTTTTGATGGCGTGCCGTCATGAGCCTCCGTTCGATCCCCCTTTTGTCCCGGCGGAATATAGCGGAATACACGGAGATGAGATTTTAATGCACGTGTGCCTGTCAATTTAGCTTAAAAAGCATGTTTGATTAGCGTTCCACTTAAACTTACGAACGGTCTTGGCGTCATAGCGAAGCGAGCCGTAACTCTGAAATCTTCGAAATCGAGTTTCTTTCAAAATTCGTCTGATACCTTTTCAAAGAAATAACTGAAACATCTGGAACAGCACAATAGAGAATTTGCAGGTGTCTGAAATTTGATGAATTTCGTGCTTAGGTAGAACCTACTGAGTGAACTGAACACGAGGATACCCTTGGTTCATGAATTGAACAATTGTTGGAGAATATATGACCAAATAATCTAATCTACTAAAATACATGTGTTTAAATGGGAAATGCCGCCAGATGACGTCACATTAGGTGAAGCATTTTCTCACTTTTAAATCTATTTTACACCATTTCCCATATCAGAAAAAAAACTATAAAAAATACCGTGAAAATCAGCTCTTCAAGCACTTTCAGATGAGGCAATAAAAAATTTGCAATGCAAATTCTCCATTCGCCCCATTTGTATATGAAGACGAGACCTGTGAAAAAGCCGGTAGTGCACAAAAATTGACGTCTCTCACGCAGATGTCAAAATTAACTTCAGTAATTCGCTGTAGGCGAAAAGCTAAGATTTTCCTTCAACTTCGCGTGATACCACATTCCTACTCCGGTGTTCGAATAGTTGCATGCTTCATTTCCGCTTGTTGAAAATTGAGAAATTGCGTGAATCTCATCCCATTATCGCGAGAAGTACGCTATACTTCCACCGATGCCTTAACCTCTGAGGAATTACGCGTTTTTCAAAAGTGAATTTCAGCTTTTTACAATGTGCCCGTTGTAATTTTTGGGCAATGTTAAAAAGGAGGCGATTTCGTTTTCCGCTCATGGCAAAAAACTCACGCGACGAGACACCAGGGAGCGGCAAAGCTCCTCGAAAAAAATTGTATAAAATGACTTGAAAAAGTAAGTAATAGTGAGTTTTTATGAAAGCAACTTGAGAGTCAATTAGCAAAAAACACATTGTATTTAAATGAGAGAAAGTTTGTTCAAATAATTTTAACATCTTTAGCGGAAGGGTCAGTTAGAGAAAACCATAATGCCTCTTCACCTGTTCTGTTGTGCTTTGGAAAAACGCTTTATGAACATGCAAGAGTTGCCTACTTTCCTTAAATAAGACATGTATATTTAAGGTAAGTTATTGACATTTCGGATACTTCAGATTGAAAAAATTTTGGACAAATTTGAAGAAAAATACCCAATAGTTTCCTCGAAAATTCGTATTTTATCGGAAGAACGACAACGCCCAAAGGCTTATACGGCGTTTTGGCGCGGAGGTGCTGATGGTCGTTTCCTCACTGGTATTCGATCAGCCGCCCCTCATGCAGTACAATCTCGGCACTCCTCCTATTGGGTGGCAATTTGGAGCAAATTTTTCCACTCAATAAAAAAATCATAAAAATAATTTTATTCACAAATAATGTTTCAAGATTCTGGAATCATGCTTGGAACTAAATTTAATGTTTTCAGCTCCTTTTCAAATCCAAACTCTTGAACGGAACAGACGGAGCCAGGGTCAAATTGGATGACCAAGGAAGTCGCCTTGTTACATCCTACCGGTCGATAGATTTGATTGGATTAGGTCCAGGTCAAACAAAGCTCCCGGATGACAGGTTGTGGCACGACAAAAGGCAAAGCCCACGCGGCACTTGAAATGAACTGGCAAACGGCTTGTGAAATTGTTGGTATGGGTCCTCCTCTCGAGGGTCAACTTTAATAGGTTAGACCACAAACATGACTCCGGAAAGGATGAAGATGAACGGGGCCGATGTGCTCAAAAAAGAATAATATCATGTTGCAGAATCGAGAAATTCCTGACAGCGGGCCGATTATTGAATTTAAACCAGCCCGATAAGACATCGAATTGCGATATATTGCACGGTTAAGATAGGGCTATGTCTTGTCGTAAGCGGCGACATAGAGTCAATGACATTTCAATAATCGCACCGCAGGTAAATATAACATGTCAACCCGTCTACTCGTAACATTCCTATTTCTTCTCTCTTATTTATCATCTGCGACCTAAACAAACATCAGAGTGATAACTCATCAAATATTAATAATATTAATATTAAATATTCATTATGTGTCCCTCTTCGCAAAATGTAATGGAATTATACAATGTTGAAACTGGAGACTGCAGATTCTGAGAGGGCCCGAATAATGGGAATATTGGCACCGTCGCTGGAGATAAGGCTAATCCGAAAGGAGCGAGGCGGTGCCCCATAAAATATCATTTAGCCGAAAACGATTTGCTGGAGCCCGGCACGTGAGTCCTTTCTCGGACGGCGTAAACGGGCGGGGGCGGGGGTGAGAGCGAGATTTTTTGCCGGGTTTTTGACTGGCGCCCGATTTGGGGTCGCGTGGCGGGAAACGCAACCCTAATCCTGACCGCAGGAAGCAAGGCACGGAGGGTCGTGCACCCGCCGCGCCGCGGTAAGTGACCGGATGCGGTCGCGATCAACGTGATAAGGTGATAAGGTGGGTGGCTTTTACGATTGGATTGCATTTTGCAAAAAGAAACCACGAGCATTGCAATGTTGCTAAGACTGTGCAACTTCTTTGGTCTTGGAAAAAAAACCTGATTATCGGTCGACAGTTTCTGTTTTACTCGCTGAAAACTGAGAATCTAAGACAAAAATTACCATGTAAATTTCATGTTTTTTTATGATTACAGTTATTTTACTGCAAGGGATAAATTTGCACAATCTTAGCATCATTGAAATGCTTCTGGTGCCTTTTTGCAAACTGCAATCCAATTAGTTTTCGTGAGAAAGTTATTAGGTGATATTTTGGGTAATTTTTTACCTAGTGGTCATCCCTACGTTACGTAACGCACTTCTTCGGCATTTTTGACACTCCCCTCCCCCTCGCTCCTTGCAACGCTCTTGTGACGAAGATCCCTATAGGTTAGGGACCATCCATGAATTACGTAAGGTTTTTTCCCCATATTTAGACCTCCTTCCCCTTCATAAGGCATCATAAGGATCCATTAACCCACTCTAAAAATTAAGTAAGGCTCGATGGAAATATTGATATTAAATATTCTGAAAGTGCAAGATGAGTAGATTACGTGGCGATTCATTGCCTTTTTTGGAGTCAAAGTCTCCGACTAGCCCGATTTTAAAAAGTCTGAGGACTCGAACAGATCCGGAACGCGCTAGAATTGCGGGAAAACTATAGATGGTACGTACTACTGCAGTCCAATGGCTATCTTCTCTCATTTTCCACTCATATTTGGACTGCATTTTGCAATTTGGAGCTATAAAGTCTGGCTCGTCTGGAAAAAACACTTATGTGTATAGGGAAACTAATGGCATATACGTTGTTTTTAAACCGGGCCGGAATTTATAGTTCCTAATTGCAAAATGTAGTCCATTTCTTAAAAAAACACGTACATCAATGTGAAATTTTCGCTTGTTAACCACAGACAACATGAATGCGAAATAAAAACGTTAAAATCATAGTAGGGAGATAATTTCAGCAATTTTTGTCACACGAATCGTGTTCTACGAGACATTTGAAAGAGGAAACACATGTGAGAATGCTTGAATGTGTACCTTGTCTAGGAGTCCATTATTTCCTCTGTATTGTTGGTGTGACCCAGAATCCACGAATTTTTCATTCGAGCAAGAGTTGTCACGAGACGGTTATCTTCCAAATGCAAATTCGATGCGGCGGACTAGAGTACAGGTGAGGAAAACAGCAGTGGCGACACAATGAGAGTTAAGAATTATCTCCTCTTATTTTTTCCCCAAGACTTTACCCTTTACGTAACAAGAGGAAGACACTGAAATTTTGAAATCAGGAAAATCATTTGAAAAAACAAAAAATTGTATTCAAGTTAAGGCCTGGAGCTGAAATGTCTGCTAGTTTGACATACCTTACAGTTTTGGATGTTCTAATTGTTCTGTTTCCTGTTGTGTTCTGTTGTTTGTTGTGTTGTTCTGTTGTTGTGTAGTTCTGTTGTTCTAATTGTTCTGCACGAATTGCAAAAATTGCTCATCTGTAAATCCAGGTCCTCCCTCTCTCTCTTTCCCTCCCCCCTCTCTCCCCCCTCTCACTCTTGGACGATCACCATTTAATTTTTTTTCTCTCGTGCGGTTGTGCATTAATCATTTCATTCATTTTGTGGGAATTGACTGAAGAATACAGATGACGATTTTGCAAAAAGGCTCGGTTTTGTTGGTTTCAACGGTGATCTGGAGTGAGATTTTCGTGTGCCTCTCATCACCGTCATCGCCCACTGTGCGGACGCAAAATGGGTGGATCATCGGGACCACAACCACAACAAGAATGGGTCGGAGGGTTGATGCGTTTCGGGGTATCCCTTTCGCAAAACCACCCTTGGGCTCACTCAGATTTCAAGTAAGGCACGCAATTTGAAACTTTTTGAACTTTAGCGAAGGTGACAGAGCTTTAAAAAGTGAATGAATAAAATGAAACTAGTACAAAGTACACCTGGTAATGTGTAAAAAAAAGCTTTGAAAAAAAGTATAAATCATGAGATTATTCATGTTCAAAAAATAGAAAGATGTAGACCCGTTACAATGATAAAAATAAAAATTATATCCTTGGAAATAAAAAAAAAAATTACTAAAGTAAAAATTAAGAATAAAAACAGTAGTGGTAGTTTAAGTATAACGACCACACAATGATATGAGTTTTCACTTCACTTGGACATCATTTTGCAACAAGGAATTCCAATCTCTGGCTCGGCTTAGAAACAACGTATGTGCCATTTGTTCACCTGTGCACGTACGTGTTTTCACGGATGAGCTAGAAATTTAGTTCTTAATTGCAAAACGAAGTCCTTGTTTTCCTTAAATTCACAAAAAAACAGCGCTATCTCGTACCGTAAGATCTATTCCACATTTATCAGGACCCAGAGCCTGCGGAAGCTATAAATGGAACCTTCCACGCGACTGAAGACGGTCCGGAGTGTGTCCAAAAGGCTAACAATGATCTTTCCCAGCTTCAAGTGACGGGCGACGAGGATTGCTTGCGACTCAATGTTTACAGACCGAGTGTGAGTCTAAAATTTTCTTTTTAGTTATCCGTAATATCATTAATTTTTTCGCTTGTCGATAAAAAAAAAACGAACAAAAAAAGAATATACTCAAAACCATTATTGTTAGTCGGCATTGCATGTTACAAGGGGAAAATATTAACTTTTTGGAGAAAATGTTGACTATGTGTAGGTGACATATTGAGGTATGTTGGTGATATTTTTTTAGATTAGTTGAGGCATATTTTGCGATAAAACAAAACGGAGATATTCAAATACTGTAATGCAAATTTAATTCAGTAATTTTTTTTTAAGACGGGATGTTATGCGGACTATAAATAGTTAAGGCTATTTCAGCTGCTGCCATACTTCACGAGACAAAAAAAGAACATTTAGACTAAAATGGGATGATTATGAAATAGCCACTAGATTTTCTATAATATCGCGACTTACATAATTCTGATTTTATGGTTTTCAGTCCTACTGATTTGAGTAGTCTCAGGTCATGACGGATAGCTTCAAAAATATAACACGGTATAAAATATGAAGTACAGAATTACTCTTAAACCAGCCATTTCCCTGGTTTAAATGCAAAAGAAAACTCTAACAGGAATAAAAAAAAATGAGAATTTTCCGGAATCTCATCCGATCAGGCTCGTTTCGTGATTTTTTGTGATGATTTTAGGTGCGTTATTTTTTTGATGGTATGGAGGATGGCATCAATAGTTACTACAATACGGAAACTCAAAGTTCGACGCAAACTTACAGTTCGCAGGGTGGAAATGGTGAAGGTGATGGTGGTGGGGCCTACTCGAATCTACCAGTGTTGGTTTTCATACACGGCGGTGGTTGGACCACGGGTTCGGACCAAATGGACCTTTACGGACCTCACTACCTTCTGGATTCCAGATACGATTTTATTCTTGTAATATTCAATTACAGGCTCGACGTTTTCGGTACGCACACCATCTTTGTCACATAAAAGCGTCGAGTAAATCAGAGCAGGCCACATTTTAATTCTATGTTGCAAAATATCTAGACCACTACTCTGCTATGTTCGCAAAGAGACCAGAAAATACAGAATTGAGGTTTTGAGAAAATTTTCCAAGTAGACTAAGGTACATTTCTTCCATGTTTATTCGTCCGAACCGAGTTTTTTGGATAGCCAATGATAACTTCACAAAATACAGAAGTTTCATGAGCAGTAAAATTATCCACTTGGACGAAAGTAGGTGAATCAACTAACTGTAAGTGCTTTCGCTCAAGTGGATAGTTTTATTGTATGAAACTTCTGTATTTTGTGAAGTTATCATTGGCTATCCAAAAAACTCTGCTCGGATGAATAAACATCGAAGAAATTTACCTTTGTCTACCTGGAAAGTTACTGCGCTTTTGATTTACAACAAATACACCTTCGGATTGAAAATTGGCGATTTGCATTAGACAGCAGAAGATGCTGCCCCCCTCCAAAATAATAAAGACTTTACGCTATTTTTCCTGAAGCTTATGTCAATTGTTATAGGCTTACTGCTTGTTTTAAAGAATAGGAGGATATCCCTGTAATACCTGGATCAGTGAGTTCATTTAAGATAGATTATTCGAATTTCTAATGAAACTCAATTTTGATAATTTGGTCATTGCTACTCTCTTCGGTAACACGCATGCAATTTTGGCTCTAGGCAGTTCATCTTTGACTATATATTGGAATTAAAGCGAAACAGCGCGGCGCGGGGTCTTGTTAATAGCAAGGAACGGGAATACCACAATTGTAGCTTCGATGTACTCTTTTCTGCCTAACGCATGAATTGAAGGCGAAAAATTTTGCAGCAATGGGTCACTAAACGATGAACGAATTTTGACTTGCAAATACATTTTTCTAAGAGTGAATGAAGCATAAAACAAGATGCGCACATCAAAAACGCTAAAAAGTGACTCGGAAACTGTGAAATACAAAAAAACGCAACACTTTTGCAACCCTGTTTTCAAAGCGAACCGAATGATGTTATCCTGCACAAATCAGAAGCCATGGGTTTCTGCTAATTCTTTCAAATGCCTTTCCACCACTTCTTTCAAATGTCTTTCTACTCTTCATATATGGAATCAATAGGAAAGTTGAAACTACATCTTTCAGAATCAAATTTTATCCATGTTATCTTTAGTAAACTAGCAACAATTCCGCATTGAAATACGTTCTATTTTAACAAGTATGAGTGGAAAATGAGAGAAGGTAGCGAGTTGACTACCGTAGTACACCATTTATATCATTTTCCCGCCATTGTATTGTGTTTGGAATTCCTTTGAGTGTTTGGACTTGTTATAGGCGGGCTTATCCGGGATTTTGGGATTTTGTCCAAAAATATGCAATAAATCACTCACCTACCACTTTCAAAATATCAAATTAAAAACACAAAGTTTAGTGACCTATTGACCTGGACTACAGAGTTAACATTATTGCCTTCCGAACAAGGCATTGAAATATAGAAATTGAAAATAGAAATTATGAACATAATCAAAATTTTCGAAAATATTATTTCCTTTTTTTTAACATACAATTTAGTATAAATTAAGATTCTAGTTGTAATTATTGTTACTATAAAAATAAATACTGATGGTTTATCATCTAGAATTAAAAGCGCTTTGTGCCCAGGAAACTTGTCTAACGTTCACAAATTCTCTCCGTTTCGATATTCAAAATTAAGATATTCCACAATTTCTTGATCATTTTTCAGGGTTTTACTGTTCGGGTGACAAAGAAGCACCAGGAAATTTCGGTTTGAAGGACCAAGTTTTAGCTTTGAAATGGGTGAAGGAGAACATCCGGGACTATGGAGGCGATCCTTATAATGTTACCATTTTCGGTGAAAGTGTTGGTGGCGTGAGCGTCCACACTTTATTTTTCGCTAAGTCGGCACAAGGTGAATATTTCAAGAACCACTTTGAAAATTTACTTGTTTACTGTTACTTACAAAAAATAGGTCTCTTATAACCTAACTGTCAGAAGTACCTTTGCCGAAATGGAAAACGCATGAAAGCAGAGTTAATTCAAGTACTACTTAATAATGTTTTCACTTAAACACTGTGCAGGGAGGAAGTAGCAATTTTGGGATTTATTTTTCTACTTTCTGTCTGAATTTAGATGTAAGGAAAGCTGGTTGTTTTTTAAGTGTATTAACTCAAAATTATATAATGAAAAGAATGAATTATAGACTAATAACCTAGCATTATTTTTGGTAAAGACAAGAAAGACCCTGCACAATATTCATTCTACTTTTATTATGTCTATTTATTTCTATTGTTTTTGAATTTATTTTTCTTAACTTATATAGTTTAAGACGTATGCATGTAGTCTGGGTGCTGTGTGAGAATGGGTTATGCAAGTAAAAGTTAAAAACAAAAATTAGACGACAGTCAATTTAGAAGCTATTACATTTGTAAAAAAAAGTTAATTAACACTCGTAAACAGATGGTTGTAAAATAATTTGAAGAAAAAAAAGAAAAAAAATCATCCCAACCAATTCGGTTCGTCAAACTGAATTTTCGATTCCTCAAACCGAATTTTCGGTTTGTCAAACTTAACTTTCGGTCGTGAAACCAAACTTGTGTAATTCAGTGACCTAACGAACTGAGTGTGGTCATATATGCCGAATGTTCGGTTACACGACCCGAAAGTTCTGCTTGACAAACCGAATATTTGGGATGATATGAAACACCAAACATTCGGTTCGCATAACCGAATTTTTTTTTAGTGATGGGCTATTTGAAATGTGGTAAAAAATAATGTATACATAAGAGTTGAGAAATCTTGGATGATTTGATTTCAGGGCTGTTTCAGAAAGGGATCTCAATATCTGGGACGGTGGCTGCGCCATTCGCCCATTTGCCGGTGGCGTTCGTAAACTCGGCAACAGAGCGACTCGGCGAGAGATTCAACTGTCCTTTGGAAAATTCTTCTGCTCTTCTGGCGTGCATGCAGGAGGTTCCTGCCTACGAGCTCATCGAACAACAGCTCAACACATCTCCGGTGAGCTCAGAAACAAGCAGCGTTTGTGCTCTTCTACAGACTGAAAAAAAGAACTGCGGGCGTCAAGTCCGTTCTTAAAAGGCCCAAAGTTACGAGTGAAGCATACGTTTTTCCGGTCTCTGTGGCCGGAGCAGTATAGGAAATACGGCTCCAGCACCCGGAACTCAGAGTCCAAGAGCCCGGAAACGGACGTCAGTGCTGTAGTCTGTAACTACGGCTTCCACAACCTGCATTTTTTCTTCAGTGACAAAAAATAAACAGTCATGAGGAACTTGGAGGATAATGCGCATAAGTGCGTTTGTTGTGATTTCGAGGAATACGTGCGTTTGAAGTTTCGAAATCACATGGATCCTTATGTTGGAAAGAATGTTCAAACTGACTTGAGGACCCTGAAGCGTTCAACTAAATACTCCAATTTTTGTAACTGTTTTGCATCACTTTTCGCCGGATTTGTAACCGAACGCATATTGACGTATGATTCGGACTGTACTTTTTTTAGTTCTTCGGAAAAAATATGAATATTCGGGTGGGCACTCGAAAAATTTTTTCTAAAATGGCCATTGAACGACTCGGCTCCATTTGTCGTCTTTGGATCCGTTGATGTAGGCGCCGCAGCCCACATTTCGGGGGGAAAGGAGCATAGTAAAACGTAGTTGTCCAAAATGTACTTACTAAAATCTAGTGCTCGAGGATCATTTGGACAACAGCTATTTAGTATCACGTATCCATCAAGAACCCATTCGGGTGGTAAAAAAGGCAATCCATAAAACATCTTAAG